TATTCCAAAAATTCGTAACGTCTCATCCATGAGTTTAAAAACTCTGATCAAGTCTTATGCGTATACAAATATTAATATACTTAACTTATTTTGAAAATCAAAATAACATTTTCCACAATTTTCTATTCCTAGCAACTTCATAATCTAAATCGTTAGCATTCAATAATCTTCGCACAGTGTTTTCTGGATTTTAGCACATCTCAATTTAATAGACGGTCGTGGTGAGCATTCGGAGTATTCAAAGCCGCCGCCAAGCGTGTCCAAAACACCTTCTGACCATCTGGATTTTCAGTCCATTCGATGTAGGTCTTCTTTCTCAAGATCTTCTGAAGCAATGTTGGCATATTCCTACTAGCCACATGCTCTAAAATTACAACCACTAAAATGTCCTCGTGATCGTCAAACATACGTGTTCGGGCCATTTCCATTTCAAAGTAACACCATTCGCTCCTAGCAAAGTTTTTGGTGACCACAATCAACATTTTGCGACTGTACTTAATAGCATCAGAAATATTGTCAGCGATTGCTCCGCCGACTACAAAATCCCGGAAGTCAACGCAAAGACGAAAGTTGAACTCGGGACCTTCCAGTGTCGGTAAGGCTGACTTAAGTACCCAATCACGGTCTTTGCTGTTGTAGGAGACGAATGCGTCATATCGAACCTGTACGCCGTCAATTGGTGGTGGACCCTCGTTCTGTAACCTCTCGTATTGTTGTCGGAGCAACCGCCGCTGATTCCAGTATCTAAGGATAACAACAAACGTATTTATTTTGTTATGCTACAAATAAACTTGTAAATGCATTTAGTGATTATCATTGATAATATTTTAAGAAAATAAATCAATTAAAACACTTTTAAAGCATCTATTTTCAAAATATTATATAAGTAATCATTGTTACATATGAATTTATATTGTGATCTTTTTTACTTTTTTTAATTATTATTTTCTTGTTTTTATTATTGCTATTGCTGTTGTTCTGCTTTCTGAATTATTTTTATTTGTATGGATTTCATTATTTCTTGTTTCTTATATGTTTTTAAAATGTGTATTTTATATTTGTTTTGTTGAGGACCCCTTATCAGCTATCCATTATTGGTGAGCTGCACAGGTTATCCTCATTTAATAAAGCTCAAATAAATAAATTAAAAAAATTAATCAATTTGTTTCAGTTATGTTTCAGTACTGCATGTTTCTATTTTTTAAATACTAACGCAAAGTAAACAGAATAATTAAAATAAAATTAAAACACAGCTCAAATCAAAATTATGGTACAGTGTCATCTTAAACTTATTGCTGAAAAAGTATATATACATAATTAATGCACATGAGCATAAACATAAAAAAACACATAGACCTAATACGTAGTGTACATGGTAAATCCGTAAGTGTATATCAATACACACACACACACATAACACTTAATACACCTACACATACACACCCATTTAGGTCCGATACATACATAGGGGCCTACATATACATAATAAAAGAAATTTTAACTAAAGTAAAGTCATACAATGTATAAAGACTAAGTTTATAATGTTCATTTTCATTTTTATTTCATTTCTCTTTTTTTCTGCCTTTGTAGCATAAGGTTTACAATATCTGTCAAATTATTTTTCAATTTCTTTGTGGAAAGTCAAGTAGAGATGAGCCAAGAACATACATTAATTTCTGATCAGTTGATAAATTGGTTCAAAAAATTATTGTGATCTATATAGCTCTAGTTCAAATGTTCCAAGTTCTTCCAGTCTGATATTATGTAGGGCAGAACATGACAAAAGAAAAAGTCTAGTATCTTCAATAGAATAAGAATTACAGATAGCATAACTGAGTAACCAATATTGCGTCCTCCAAATTACAGATATTTTACTGCAGATTAATTGAGTAAAAGTACAATATTTAGTAATTTCTACCCGAAACCTAGACGCCAGAGGATAGTAGGCCTACTCAGGACTAATTTAATTTTTAAAATATTCACATCGGGCCGGAAATAGGGTGTTCACTAGGGTGGGTTGGTTGTGCTATGGCTTTGGCTAATTCAATTAAAAAGTGATCATTTCTAATTGTATAAAATTACTTAGCCTATTCGCCAATTGCATGCGTTATTAAAGGGCCTCAATGTACTCTCGAACAAACCGTCGAAAGAATTTTGCTAATGAACTTTTTCCTAGATAGATAATGTATGTTGGCTGAGGGCTAAAAGACTCAAAAGTTTAATTTTAAATACGGTATCATCATGGAGGAAGACAATTTTCTTCCTCCATGGTATCATGTAAACAATGCAACTTGTCCACTTGACAGAATAATTAACATTTTAATGTATTAAGTTATTACGTAATTTAACTTTAATTTCTTAATTTGATAGATATTTGATAGGCACATTTGCCAACAGAAGCATAATAAAAGACTGCCTCTCTTCTTTTTATAATCGCTTACATTGGCTGATAAGCGATTAAAAGTTTTAGTTAATCAGGCTGGAAATCAAGCTTTATCTCATTAAATGTTTATTTTTTTATCTTTCGTGATGAAATAAACAAATTTCATATACATTAGAAAAAGATATAAATACAAAGTGTTCATTCGAAAAAAACGAAATTCTGGCTTTAGATATTTTTAACAATAAATATAAATTATATCAACGGACTTCGTTAAGGAAGAAGAAAAATTTCTCTTGAATTCCTTTGAACATTTTCTTTTATTTATGAATGTTTTGTTACAATACTTAATCCTTTTCTCCCCTTTTTCTGAAGACACGGCCCCTATCTCTCTCTTTCCCTTTGTGTGGATGTCACCCACCTTAATTACTTTCTATGTTTCTGTTTTTATCCTTTTTAGTCAATCTTTTTTTCTCTATATTCATATTACTAGTACAATACTCATCTTAGCTTTCATATAATGAAAAAATAAGGCTTGATAGGCAAATCATCCATATATAATTCAATTATTATTATATTATCATTTTTTTGTTTTATTGCTACCATAACTCACTGAATATGTTAATTCCTATGTGAGTTATGCGCTGACATTGGTGATGATAAGCAATGTAAGCTTAACATTTATTGAATAATTATGGATATTTTAGATTTCTAAAAAAGAGAGCATATTCATCACCGACAGAGTAAAACACTCCGAACAGAATGATCGTCCATCAAATCTTACCTGATATCCCACCGGAACGTGTATATGATTATAGATACAACGACTAAGAACACTACTGAACTACAGGTACTAATGACGGTAATTATCGCAATACCATAGCATCTAAGAGAATTTGCATCAAAGCTAACTAGACTAATTCCATCCTTGTTTTTACACGTAGCGTGCTCGAGTTCCACAAGTGTTGCATTGGTTTGGTTAATCCAGTTACGAAACCATACCAGGTTACAATCACAAACTAATGGATTGTACTGAATTCCAAGAGCAATTAACTTGGTCAACTCTTGGAATCCAACTTTTTGACTGATTGTTGTCACCTTGTTTTTTTGCACAAAAAACCGCATCACGTTCGGTGATCCAAGAAATAGGTATGAAGGGAGTAAACCGATGTCATTCGACCTAATATTAATATTGTTCAGAAATCGAAGGTTGTGAAATAGATCGATAGGGAGTTTAGCTATCTGATTTCCGTTAAGAGAGATTGTTTGAAGGTGAACACAATTCTCAAACAAACCCTTTTCTAGAGTCTTAACAACCGAATGCTCAATGGATAAAGATATTAAGGATACCAACTTAAGAAACCAACTTTTGCGAATGTTAATTAATCCACGATTGTAATCCAGATGCAACAATTTCAAGTTAACTTGGTTATCAAATATATGATCATCCATCTCAGATGATAATAAGCTATTGTAATTCAAATACAATTTTTGTAGCTGGGTGAAGTGCACCAGGCTATCATTGCTGATGCCAGCAATATAATTTTGGTTCATGAATAAACCACTTACATCCACTGGAATCGATGCTGAAGGAATATGAGTATATGGTCTCTTATTGCAGTAAACTTCATGTCGAAAGGACAATAAATGTTTGTCAAAAATTCTGCAGTATGCACAATAGCAACCGTGTGGACAGACTGTGGTGTTTGGTGCCTGTGTTCCGTTGATTTGCAACGGGTTGAACGGGTAGGGGCAAGTATTTGTCAGCATCGAAGTTGGTGCAGACATCTTTATGTAAAATAATCCAAGTAGTATTATTATCAAACTTAACATGTTGAGTACTTCTAGAACCTTCAAATAGAAATCAGTTTTATTAAAACTGAATACAGCGATCTTAGCCTATTCAAATTCCAACGAATCCTAATAAAAGTACTGTACTAATTCACTCCTATTTTACATGGAAACAAATACATGTTATGTACGGTACTGTCTCGACCTTCTTTCAATGAAACTGTCGTACATTACAATGCTGCTGAAAAAGGCGGAGCTATGTAAATTATTTGCGGGTGATCAAAAATGGAAGAAAGGCAGCGAAACAAATCAAGTGTTAGTAAAAATAATTTCGGGTTTTTTTTCTAATGCACACAATGTGTCATTGTCCACATATAAACACATATCTATCTATAGGTTGAGTCCTTTGTAGGACTGGCCGTTATGCAGAAATACTTTCCACTATATTTCGAGATATACTTCACAAAAGTTCTTTTGTTTTGTTTTTTGTTTTTGTTTGTTTGGTTTTGTTTTTTTTTGCGACCCTCAGAAATGTTTTGGCGACTCAAATTTGAGTCACGACCCATAAGTTGAGGAGCAGAGCTATGTACTACTGTATTCTGTTGTAAACGCACACGTTACATTTCGATATGCACTGGCATGTATATTATACCGGTTGATCGATTGTGAATCGACATCCTGGAAGCAGGGAACAGTGTAATTTCACCGTTCCCTGCTGGAAGCTAGTTACTGTGTGATGGTTTAATGAACATAATATACACCGGTAAAACTTCAGTGCACAAAAACATACTAAAACCACTGCATGCAACAACACTAAAGCAGGAAATAAAATGTAATTCAATCTACAGTAGCAATTTTGTTATGGAATAAACATTCCTAAGCTTTGGCTACACGGAGTGCTATAATCCGACCAATCATAGGATAAAACGTTTATTACTATGGGTTCAACATAATTCTAAAACACAAAGGTACCAGTATACATATAATATTATAATTATGGTCTCTGACACTGTCCCAGTTACTGTCCAACTTTCAAAATAGCTCACAGTTCAAAAATATCTTTACAGCATAAATCGTACAGTTCTTCCTTAAATAAAAATAAATAAATAAACAACTAAATTCATCGTATTCTCAGTATAGAGTACTACTGTACTGTATTGTGGTGTAAACTCGAAGGTTTTATCTCGATATGCATTGGCGTGTCTATTTTATGTATCTTACACCTATACAGCATACATCATATAGTTCTTTTAATTAAATAAATAAATCAATATAAAAATAAATAAATAAATAAAGTAAAATAAATTCAAAGTATAGTCAGTATAGAGTACTAATGTATTGTGGTGTAAACCCACAGATTTTAACTCGATATGCACTGGCATGTCTACTTTGTATCTTTACCACAGCATACATTGTAGTTCTTTGTTAATTAAAAAAAAGTAATAATACTAATAATAATAAAATATTAAATAAATAAAAAAAATAAATCCATCATACTCAGTACAGAGTACTACTGTATTGTAGTGTAAACTTATAACTTACATCTCTATTTAACACTGTCATGTCTACTTTAAGTATTGTATAGTTCTTCCTTAATTAAAATAAATAATAAATAAATAAATAAATAAAATACATTTATCGTAAACCCACAGGTTCCATCACGATATGCATAGGTATGTCCACTTTACACAGCATACATCGTGTATTTTTTTTCAAGGAGTAATCATTAAAATCGGTCTATACAATGCAAAAATAGCACCTTTTCCCGGGGCCTCCTTGGCGGCCCCCAGTCCCCCAGCCTTAGTGCTAGTTTTGCTTGCAACCTCACCACAGTTCAGTTCTTTCCTGAGTAATAATTCGACATTGTACTTTTCTCAATTAAAATAATTTAATATCCTATTAGAATTCCCGAGGGATTAAGGCAAGGGAAATAAAAACAACATTATAACGTTGGTTGAGCTCCATGACCTAATAGATATTATGCAAATCAGAAACTCTTACACTGTCATTTCATAGAGCCCTAAAATTGGTTCCTATGCCTAAACGTAGGTAACCTAGTGAGCACCAAGCCTTTTTACTGTTCTACAATATACCCGAATGACATGCAAGACATCATTTTATACACCAGGGACTCTTACACGAAACACATCAAAGTGCTAATGGGCTCCCAATTACATGGTCCTTTTATGATAGCCAGTTCCGTCTTGCCAGGAAGCCTCCTGTATAAATGTTGCGTACTATACGCAAAACCTCCGAAATCGGAGTTTTCCAACTATTATTCAAACCTCCAATTTCGGAGTTTCTGCGACTAATTAAACAATCTCTCTCTCTCTCCCTCCCTCTCTCCTGTCTCTTATACACATCTAGATGTGTATAAGAGACAGGAATTTGCATCAAAGCTCACTAGAC